ATATGGGTCTCTTAGGAAGGCAGCAAAAATGTGTCCCTATGGTACCACTTCTATGTCATTCAATTTTCCTTACTGTGAAATACAAATGGATATGAATGAAATGCAAATTCTAGAATCTAGAATTAGCATTTGGCATTAGTGTCAGAAGTGACTGAGATGCCTTTTAAACTGTTGTGATTATTTTATTTTATTTGTCAGTTTTACATGATGCCATCTTCTTGTGATAGCAGGTACTTGTGGAAAAAAAATCAGTATGTCTACTTTAATAACTCAGAAGATGAAACCTATATCACTGAGAAAATAGCTCACTTTGGAATATTAATAATTACCACTGTGTGGTGCACTGTAACATAAAACTCTGGGCTCCAGATTTCTACTGAAACATTGATAACAGAAATTTATGTTAAAGTTTAGATCAGGGAAACGCTCTCAAGTCCTTAACATATAAAACTCTATGCTTTTGTGAGAGTTTCCACTGAGGACAGGTCGAGAAAGGGATTTGCAGTTATCTCTCTTTTATTAAAAGATTGTATAGGTAGTCCTTGACACAGGCACACAATTGAGNGAGAGAATGCATCATTCTGTAGCAAACTATAGCTACATGTGGGAGGTTTTTATTTAACTGCTCATGCCAGTCTCTACTAAGAACTGTGATTACATTTCAGAGCTAGTCTGAATCTGTAGAGTAAGACTGACTGGGTGAGCATCTCAGGATCAAGATTGCCTTGTTTCTAAAGAAGATTTACAACATTTGGGGAATCTGTTTGCAAAATATCCCCCTTTCCCCCACAAAATGAACTTTGTAGCTGCTTTGAGGTTGAGGATGCATGAAGCCAAGCATTCATATTGAAAATGTCCGGTGTCTAAATTGTGCAGAACTTGTGCATAACTTTTCTCAAATAGAATAGAATTGTGGTGTCTTTCTTACTTATTTTTCCCCAGAAATTATCATTTATATAGTAGATCTGGATTAATTCTGATCAATTAATTCACCTCATATTTCATCTGCTAGTCCCTGTCAATGAAATGGGGGGTGGGGGGAGACATACCATGAGGCACTAGCCTGACATTCCAGACCTTTCCCCACTCCCATACTGTGTGGTAGTGGGAAAAGTGCACCCGGTGTTCCACTACAGTTTACGTAAATCAGTGGTTGGGTCAGAGCTGAGGCCAGTAGCAAGGATAGCTCCAGGTCCAATCGTAGTAGAAGGGGAGAAGCACTACGAGGTAAAGAGGATCTTGGATTCCAGGCTGTAGAAGGGAAGACTCCAATACCTAGTCCAGTGGAAAGGGATATTCATGTCAGAAGCTAGATGGGTAAAAGCACAGGTTATGAAGGCAGATCGATTGATCAGGAAGTTTCATGAGAAGTACTGCCCGAAACCAAAGGACCTTCCTAGGAATAGAGGTGACCCTGGCTTTCATTAATGTGCGTGTGTGCGTGCTTGAGGTTTTCCAGGTGCTTCTCACTTTCTAGGGGGATCTTACTGTCAACTCTGAAACAAATCCGGCCTGCTGCAGCCATCTTTCCATTTTTTGGCTTGCCACACAGTATGGGAGAGAAGCTGAGAAACGGAAAGATGGCTGCGACAGGCCTGATCTGTTTTGAAGTTGACACCACTTTCACCACTATCCTGAACTAAAAGTTGGGAATCAGCCGCATAGTCTTGTATTGCTTATTCTGTCAGAAGCAATGGATGGCAATCACTTTTTTGACTGGGTAATAAAAGATAGTCTTTGGTGTGCCAAGGGAGACCTAGTGATTCAATGTGGTATGTTCTACATCAAAAGGTGGGATTGCTCCTTTTACAATTTCTTCCATTTTTGATTGATTAAGTGCCATCAAGTTGTTGCCAATTCCTAGCAATCAAAAAAGACTTTCTCCATTATGATCTTCCTTTACCTGGTTTTTCAGTACACTTATTTCTACTGTAACTGAGACCATCCACTTTGCTGCTGGTCATCTTGTTCTCTTTCCTTTTACCTTTCCTTTCACCTCGAGAGAAGCATTAGAGGCTTCTCTGCGGAATTACAACTGTGTATAATTTGATTTTTTTTTTAATTAATGGTCATTTGTGGCTCTAGTGGTAACTCTATGATGATGTGTTCAATGATCCATTTGTTTTCTGGATTGCCTACAGTATTCTCAGGAATCTTCTGCATCATTAATTATAAGCTCTATTTGGGATTTCCATTGGCTTGGCCAGTGGAAACCCCCAGGTCTAAGATCACTGGGATTAATTATCATAAGAAAACAGCCTATTCCATTACTAGAACAAAAGACAGGTGTTGATTTGCTTTCTTACAATAAAGTGGCTTCATGCCAGGAAAGAAAGCAAGACAGATGAAAGAAAAGAGGCACAGAAGGTAACCCTTACTTTCTTTCTCTATAAATAGAGCTTACTTTTGAGACACTTGAAGTATCTTGAATTCCTCATAGTATGAGGAATGAGGAATTCTTTTTTCTGACTTCATTAGCTTTTCTACAACAAATCTACTTATCAGACATCTTTATGTCCTTGAACATATTACACTTGTTTCCAATGTCATTTGTTATAGAGATCTGACAGGTGTGTTGTTTATTTTGAACAAGGAAAGTATTAAATTTGCTTTAAATCTAATACATATGAGGCAGGTTCGCAATACTGAAGAGCAACTTTGGCTGCCGCTGCTCCAGTAATGGTTTCCATTATTAGGTCAGGGTTGGGCCTAGAACCGTGCTAGATCAGGAGTGTCAAACTGGCGGCCTGTGGGCCTGATGCGTCACATGGAGGCCACACCCACCCCAGCTTCGCGAATGGGGGAAATGTCACGAAATGTCTCGTGAAGGCAACGTGACATGGTGAGTTTGACACCCGTGTGCTAGATTGTGTTTTTTTTTTTTTTTTGGTTTTGTTTGGCTAACTGGTTCATTGTCTGAAATGACCAATCCATCTGGATCAATATTGGTTTGATTACTGGCAACTTGAGAATTTGGAGAAATGTCAGGAGTTGCAAGAGAATCTATAACTACAGTATATCCTTGGTGTACTAGAGCAAGTTCTTCTCCTGTAATGATGGCAGTAACAACCAGATCTAAGCAGGGTTGGAAATCTTGGTTTTCTAGAGTAGTGTTTTTCAGCTCTGGAAATTCTAAATTCTAAAAATGTGTGGACTTCAGATCCCAGAATTCCTCAACCCCTTCTTAGAGTTGCCAAGATTGAGAAACACTGCTCTAAACTCTGACCACTTTCTCAGGAACTGGTTTCTCAACAGAAGGTTCGTAGATATGACTCAGCAAAGTTAATTACTTTATTGCATACTATTATAAAACACATATATTATAAACATTGCATGTTGCAGTCAAATATATGGTTCTGTGCTCTAGGGTTTAAAGTCTAGCTTTCTTCCTCCCATCTTCCTGGAAGAAGAGATTTTGTTTTTCTTTTAGGCCATAGGAAGCCTTAAGTATTTTGACCTAAGGTTCTCTGCCTAAGAAAGGCAGTGGAGGTAAGAAAAGAGCTACCAAGGTTCTTATTTCTCTCCAAGTCTCATGGTGATTTGATAAAAAGTAGATGAAATATATTGCAGGTACATAATTATTTGTGACTATGATGGTACTATGTTCTGCTGTATTTATAGAAAAAAATGCTAGGAATTAGTAAAAGATGTTCTCATACTGTCCCATTCTAAAAATCTAGTAGATCATATTATTTTGTTGCTTTGTGAAAACAAGCTACAATCCTACGATTGTGAGATCCTCAAATTCCTATGAATTCTAACAATTCTATGTTACATCAGGATTAAAATTCAATTTAATCATTGTCATCTATTACAAAACTGCCTACAAGATGGTTTACAACTTCCACCCCTTCCTGAATTCAAGTAGGTTTGCTCACACAGGGACCAGCTATCCATCACTTCTACCCAAAATTTTCCTTCTGAATAAAATCTTTAACTTAATATATCAGAAATTAAACCTGTGTCCTCTTAGCAAATTATAGGATTTTGCAGCATAAAATTCTATGAATTATTGGAGACTGGGCAAGATGAATCAGAAACTTAGAAAGAGTGATTTATGATCAAACAGATTATTTCAGAAGGTTTTTGCAATTTCTTTCAAACTCTCCTGAGACAAGATGCTTTAAGACTTTCTGACTATCATCAATGTTGTTGGTTTTTTGGACTTTTGCACGGGCAATATTTTTTCTGTCTGATGAAACATGATAAAAAAGCAAACTGATTAAATATTACTTAACTGTAGAAACTTTCTTGACTTGTACCATATATGAAATGCTGTTAACATGAAAGCTGATACAACTGATACTTGAAAGTTATATCAAATGTTGACATGAAAGAACAATTTGGATGCTTACAAATCCCACTGACATTTTAAAAATGTATTTAATTTTCTTTTTATTTAACTTAGGGGAAAAACTGATGATTTTTGCAATTAAAATCACAGCTAATCTTTCATTAACAGTAATCAGCTGTGAATTCCCACAAACCAATAAAACAGTGTCCTGAACTTTGTTCTGAAATTTGAAATAACTTTGATTTCAAAAAAATTAATATTTTCCCTCTATATTTGCTTTCACCTTGTGGTTCACCTATGAATACATTACATACTGAAATATTATAGTTCACATCACTATCACCATCACAATTTTCTTTTAGTAAACTTTTTAGGAAAAAGATAAGAGAAAAAAAAATGAAGAGAAAAGAGATGGCAAAAGGAAGAAATGTGAAAGTTAAAGTGATATTTTTTTTTAAAAAAAGGTGCTAACTACATAAAAGATTTGGTTGAATTGTGATTTTAAAAATTAGTTGTAGTCTGTTGTATTTATCTGTATTAAACTATCATATTTGGTAATCATGCCATCTACAAAATTTTATGGAAGATTAAAACCCTCTGTCAAGGACATGGTTCTTGAATCTGTCCTAGATAAACATGAACAATATGTTGCAGTATTAATCAGTTATGAATTATATTAATTATTGCACAGTAAATATACTCTTACCCTGATATGGAAATCATTTAGGTCCATGCATTTGCACATCTCCAGGAAGAGTATGGAGCCCTCTTCATCTAAGATCATATAGACTGGGATCCGACGTTTGAATGCTGCATCTACTATATCTCGGAAGATGTCCCTGTCAGTGAACTGATCCATGACTATTGCAATTATCTGAACATACAGAAGAAGAAAACACACATTTACTTTAAAAAGTAATGTTGAAAAAGGTACTGATGTAGGCATATCATATCATATATACCCACACTCCGTGAATGAGAAACAAATGTTTTAACTTATTCAAGAACCCATCACTTCATAGCGTAAATCTTCCTGCCTGAAAAATCAGTTTATTCTTGTTAAGAATGTTCATCCTGGGGCTTGCATGGATTGTCCTGTGTTAAATACTATCTAAAAACACCTAAATAATAATCATATTTGTTTAAAAAAATTACTGCATATATTTTAAAAATAGTCATTTTGGCTCTTATTTGGCCTCAGATAAAACGGTACAGGTTAGTTAATAATGGTAGAGCACATGTTTTGTATGCAGAAGATGGCAGGTTCAGTCTTTAGTATTGTGATTCTAAATCTTAGCAATTATTAGATGCTGGACTTCACCTCCCAGATCCTCCCCCCCCCCCCAATAGTTGAATACTGATTAATACATTACTACAATATTGGTTTCCCACCCCTTGTGAAACAGGCCCANTAAAAATTTTCTCTCAGGTTTTGAGCTTGTGTAAATTTCACATTTCTTACCCAAATTTTTTCCCATGTATCCAACATTATTGGTTCTTCAATATTTTGAGCCCACTTTACCATACAATCTTTAACTAACTCTGTTTCTGAATCTATCTGTATTAATACATTATATAGTTAAAACAGTTCTAACAGCTGTATAAAATACTATAGTGGGATAGTATAGTATGAGATTAAACATGTTTGTTACATTGATTTTTTAGGTATTAATAATTTGGGAAAGATGAAGATGAAAAGAAAAAATTTAGGAAGGGTTTGGTTATGCCAGATTATTAGCAGTTTACATGCTGTTCTGACTGTCTTGAGGAATAAAAGATACCAAAGTAGATGAATTAGGAGTCAAAATATTAATGAGGCAGTAAATGAATTTGATGGATGCAGTTTATTGCACTGATTTACAGTTTGTCAGAAAGACTGCTATGTAAATTATTGTTTATTCAATAAATATCACGCAATCTGCATTTATTGTAATTTAGATCCTCTCCTAGTTTTGATTTTTGGTTCACTAGGTTTTGAGAAAGGGTATATTTATTTCTTCCAGAAGGGAAATAATGAATCACTAGTAATTCAAGTGCAATTGCTAATATTTACCATGCTGAATTAAGGCTATAAGTGAGGGAAATCATGCATTTCAGTTAATTTATTAAAGACAGTATCTCAGTCTTAATTGCTCACAAGTATTTAACAAAATTTTAGTTTTGTTTTTATAATTATTTTAATATTTTCTAGAAAGCTTTCTTTACCATTGTTTAAATGAACATATCCAATTTGTGACTGTCATCTATTTGACATGTTTGCATGAATTGGGTTGCTGCAGTTAGTTGGGTTTTGTTGCTTTCTCTTGTGAAATTCATTAAAGGAATCTTATTTCTGAGTAGTTCACTTTTAAGACAGTTTTCTCAAAACCCAGCCATTTGCTGGGAGTTTCAGAAGAAAAGAAGTTAAGAGTTGTTTTTTTTCTGAATTGGTTTGAGGGAAGCAGAAAGAAAAAGATGTTGTAGGACTGAGTTTGAGGAATCAGATCTAAAACCAAGAAAGGGAAAGCAGTAAGGTAAAATTGGCAGAAAACTTTTATTTAGTTGTCTGAAGATTGCCTTCTGCAGTTGTGGGTTTTTTCATAACTGGAAGTTTTCAAAAATAGATTGGACAACCATTTGACTGGGAAGGTGTGAAACTCCTGCCTTGAGCCTTCCTCCCCATGATACTGTGATTGAAAGATTGTTAATTGAAGGATGCTGAAGATTTGTTGTTCTACTCTGTGCAGCACATTTGATTCTTGGGTATTTTTGAGGCATCTTCTCCAATTCTTAATCCCCCCCTCTTTCTCCCTCCCTCTCTCTTTCCCCCTCCCTCCCCCCCAATCTTTTATCCAATCTGCTGGTTTTAGGATGCAAGTCTTAGGCACAGGCAATCTATTGCATTAAACAATCCCAACAATATTATTTTTATTCAGAAATCTCTGATAAANGGGTCGCGATGGGTCGGATACGACTTCACAACTAACAAATGCATTCATAGTCTGGAACCAAAATCAGGGAAGAAGTCTTCCATTGGGGATAACACCAATCTACAGTTTGTGAGAGGGTATCAAAGAGAACCAATGGAATTTCTTCTACTTTTACTTATCCCGATTACTGCATATGCCCAGTAAAACTTGATCTATGTATTACTCTTAACAATAATGTGGTTTGTTTTACTTTAGTTTGTTCAATCTATTAATTTAGCCATTACAGTTTGTAAACTGAGAGAAGAGAGTATCTGTAGCTCAGGATTGAACTGTGGGGTCCTTGGTGTTCTCTGAGCTTGGTTGTTTTCTTGCAGCCACGTCATTTCCAAATTGGGTAACATAATGATAATTTGTGGCTTACTCAGTAAGCCATGATTAAACAAATTATGGGTTAACATAATGAATGAACTTGATTTCTGTATAATGGTAGGTATCCAGTGCTGAATGATCCTTAAACTGGAGGACGGCATCTCCTTCAGGAGCACTATATGGAGGATTTGCATTGGGTTAGGGGCTGAAGTTCTATAAAAGGCTAGGGAAGGACAAGTTTCTGAAACAATTCCTGCCTGCCTTCCTCCCTAACAAAGCCATGAAGCACTGTTACCCAGATATGTTTGGTTTACAGGTCACAGAATTCTTAAATCAATTTATAGAAAGCTTTTTTAGCTGGGAATTTTTAAAGTCTTAGTCCCAACACAGCAGGGCAGCACTATTTTGGGGAAGATAGTTCTAGTTTCCTGACTAAGCAGGGGGTTCCAACTTTGACAAGTTTAGAACAGGGGTCTCCAACTTTGACAAGTTTAAGATGTGTGGACTTCAACTCCCTTCTGGGAGTTGAAGTCCATGGGTCTTAAAGTTGCCAAAGTTGGAGACCCCTGGATTAGAAGACCTCCAAGTTCTCTTCCAACTCTGTTATTCTATTCTTCATTCTATGTATGGTTTAGGGTTAGGATTAACATTCGGTACATAGGTATTTGTAAACTGCAGTAAAATATGTAATACATCTTTGAGGATTTGCATTCACTTGCAGAACAGACTATTGATATTCAGTAATAGTTTGGGGAAGACGGACACACTGTAGATAGAATGCATTATAAATATTTATTCAGTCAAAAAACAGTAAGGAAACTGGAGCTAATGTTCCTTATCATATAGTGGGACATTTATGCAAGGTATTCTACATTTCTTTAATTGGCTACCTATAAAGTTTTAATGAGTGGAAAGTTGTCTTTTGCTTTTTGCAGTACTTATACTTTATCCTTTGTAACATTTTGGAGCATTATTTCTTCTTAATGCAAGCAATATTTTGACTCTATATTTTGCATTTAAATTCATGGTGAGTCCTTTATTTGTTTGTTTCCCCTAGTAGCTGATATCTACATTTACAGTTCTTTTCAGTTGCTGCTTCTATTAATGTAAATGGAATCTTTTATGTTTCATGCAAATGAGACCACTTCAAAAAGCTTTTACTTACATTAGAGACTCCTCTGATAGTGAAAGGAATAGGCAGTGGTTTGTCAGCATTGTTTACCATGATGATATTGTACTTGTATTTTTTTAAATGATTTTTGTTTGTAATCAGGATGACTTGGCTGACATAAGTCATTTAGAAAGTTCAGTTATCATTCACAAGAGATTACTGGTTATCTATTTCTGCAGAATTATTTTTAAAGTCAGTTAAACCAGTCATCAGAATTACAGTAAAGTAATGCTTTTGTAAAGTTGAGTTGCAAAGTTTACTCCAAGTTTTTTTTTTGAGGAAGTGGAAGGTTTCAATAATACGAGAAAATGTTCCACCCAGATTTTGCTACAGCAGTGGTAAATATATTTCCTTGCATACAAGGGGTTTTATAAAAAAAAACCACATATTGGTATTTGTACTGGAAGAACAGAATCCAGGGCCTATTCTAATGCTTGTGAATACAAGAGACAAGGAAGATAGGAAGAAACCTTAACTAGTATGAATTATGGCCTACTCTATCTAAGTAGGCTAAGAAAACATAGGTGATGCAATTAGAATATGTAGCCCTATCATGCTACCCATTTAAATTCATCATTTAAGAGCCACAGTGGCACAGTGGTTAGAGTGCAGTACTGCAGGCTACTTCTNTATTGCTATTGCTATTGAGAGATAAGATTTTCTCAGTTAGGTCTTCACAAAATAATATGTCCACAGCATAGAATTAAATTAACTATTTTATCTTTTTATTAAAAAAAAACAGCAAGACAATCTTTACATCTCAATATATACAGTACTGTATATTTAAGCTTTATAACAAGCATTATCTTCAAATTATTAATGTACTCTTAGAACATTGCTATACAACAAGTAATTAAATATCATTATTCCTCTTTTTACATATGAGAAACTGTAAAATATACACTTGTTGTACACCAGCTTCTGTACATTAAAACTTGTGCTATCAATTAAATGAATACTATGAAATCAAAGTAGAATTTCACCCAGTGGTGAAAATATGCAGAAAGCATTAATTCAGAAAAGACAACACAGGATACAATATGTTTCATGGCTGCTCAAAAGGCAGTCTTGAATAGTTTCATCACTGTATTTCTCTTCTCTTCTTTTTGTTTTAAAAACGCAATACAAGCTTGACAGAATCATTACACACTTTGAATCAGACCCCCGATTTGTAATTTGAAAAAAAAGCCAATTTTTAGGGCCCCCAGTCTAGATATCTGAATTTTTGTCACACCCTTTCATATATCAATCTGTACCTTTAACTGTACAACTGTACATGGGTTATTTATACTGATTACATATGGTTTGCATTTATAGAACTAGTTGCTGTTTTTGAAAGGAAAAAGTTTGACAAATTTCCAAGAGGCAACTTATTTAAATAATTAATGTGTGTGTTACCTCAGTCACAAGTTCAATGCCAGACAG